TCTTGGTACAAGACCAGTCGCATAGTAGCAAATCCACCATTGATCTACAAGGGAGGCAAATGCGCGACCTGGGACAGACTTTGGCCACACTAACGTCGAGACTCCAGCAAAACACAATGGCTAAAACGGAAAAACTCCGAAAAGTGGGGAATCTGTTGGGGTCCGCAGAACCGGCTGGTGAGGGCGGGTCGCCCAACTATATTCAAATATCTAACCAAGTTCTTCACGATGCTAACAAATCTTCGACTGGTGTTTAAAAAAGGTTTCCTAAAGTTGCCTTTCAATAGGTTCTTCTTTCAAAAACCAGCTGGAAAAAGGAGCTATATTTGAGAGTGGATATGGTTACCCCTGTGAGTTAAAGAACTCCGAAAATTTTTCTTACAGGCCGTCTCGACGCTCTTCACTCGTTTGATGCTGATTTGTTCAAGCGATGGATGATTCGAGTGTAGATAATGAGGAAATCGCATGCTGTTCTCGGCCGTCGACTCATCACGGTGGATAGATAAGTGTAGCTAACATGGTAAAACCTACATATATGGATTTTCAGTGTTTTCGACGCTGCTGTTATCAACGGCAAAGAGCCATACTAATGCAAGTCGTCAGATTAGTGTTCGTCTTGGATACAAAGCCATATACAAGCGGTTTAATGAAATCAAGATAGAAATACGCTTTGTGATCTAATCACTTTTTCATCACACTGGTAGCTGCTCTAGTCTGGAAAAACAAGCATTTTTTAGTAAATCAAGCATGAAAATAGTGGTACGTCCTGTCATCTCATTGTTTTACGAGGAAACAAGAGAAGGAATAAAAATGGCAAAGTATGGCATTTTTGCGCAGCTATCATTGTCAGATATTGACGAATGAAAAATGTTAGGCGGCTTTAAAAAATGTGCGAGTGGGTACAAGCGCTCAATGCAAAGGATCGAATGGTCCAATAACTATTCAAAACACCCCGTACGAAGATTAAATTCTTCCTGAAAAAGTCTGGTGAATAGTAGAAAAAAGCAGAAAGATATTTTATAGTTCCTAAAATGTGTGAGCGTAGCTTTCGTCCGCTATGGTAGCTGATTTTTGCGGGAAACTTCACGATTTCTTTCTAAAGAGCTCAATTTGAAACTTAAGAAATTCTTATCGAGAGTGTTATAACTTTAAGCGAAATAAAATTCATTCCATCATTTTTCGGCTGCTAAAAGCTGGGTTAGTCTTGATGCTGTTATAAGTCAATGGATACTCGACCCTGTGTATTGCTATTACAAGTGTTTCTTAATTAATCAACTCTTGCTCGTAAGCGTAATGGTTTAACATAATGTGTTACTGAAAAAGGCAAAAAATCACTTGAACTATAAAGTTATGAAATAGTGATAAATATAAGATCGGTCAAGGCAGACATAGTGTTCACTTGGTGGTTCTCGGCAATAAACTCACAAACAAGGAGGGCGAACCTTTCTCGGAATTCCCTCGCTAACGAGTTTGTGGTCTCCTAGTGAGCAACGGAGAGATGGTTAACGTTATTGCTAATAAATATCTGACAAATTTATTTTAACAAACAGTCCATATGTTTAGCCCTCTTTTTAGCCTCTCCTTCTTAGCCTCTGCTTCCCACTCTTCCTTTTTGGACTATTTCTCTCCCTCTTAGATCATTAAGCTTTTGAAATATTGTAACGCTCTATTCACAATGTCCTTCCTACGCCACTTCCATTCAAGATAGGTAACAGCTAAAATGAGGTTCCTAGCAGCCATTAAGCAGTCAGCACTGACCTCTGCTGGCTCCGACTGAGATTTTTCCAGAAAACTGATCTGTGAAATAACGAGAAAATTGAAAAAAATATTATTGAGAACTAAGTTGTTACGATGATACGTGCGTTAAAAGACAATGACGTATAATGAATTTACACTACATAGCACAATTCCCAACAAATCTATCCACACATGAATTGTTTAGCCTAGAATTTACTCAAAGCGTCGACTTATTCGATTGCGACAGCTTCGCGTAAGCAACAAAAACATAAACTAATAATTTAACATTGTTACACCGAAGACGCTCATATTGGATTTGGAGCTTGATACGCTTTGCTTCAAGAGCAATGTCTTTCTTACTGAAAGAACATTCGGTCTGCAAGCAGTCTTCAACGCCATACATCACTGGATTAGAATGAAGTCATTGTAATGAATGACTCATTACAGAGCTTCAAACCACGGAAAAGTATTCTTAGTTCGTATCTTGTAGGAGTACAGAGCCGAGGAAAGTAGATTAGAGGCGAAGAATGACAAAGAGGACAAAGTGAAAATTGATAAGTGTCTTTATAATTGGTGAAGAAATAACGAGACCATCAATGACATATCGTAGAGCATTGACAACCTGCTGTGTTAACAAAGCTAAGTGGTCTATGACATTCAGTACAAAGATGCTTTTCAAACGCCGTCCACTATCACAATGTTGATGATACGAAAATAATTAGAAATTTGGAAAAAAATGATAACGAAGAAGAAGTAAAATAAGTGGAATTAGTCGTCTCGAGCTGAAACTACTTGTTCGCTGATCTCCGCCATTGCTGACAACGTGGCACTGATCCAATGCTGCAGCGTACTCTTCTTTCTTCCATGCTCTTTTCTTTGATTTTGTTGCTGAAAATCGATACCTACTGGGCATTGTGGATAAAAGTAAAATTCGATCGAGCTTTCAATAAACGGATGAAGATCCATGTTGGCCTGAGTTCATATCGTACAGTAATCAAAAATATGTGACCGTATTTTAAAGATGAACACCTGACCAGTGGTGTACAGTATTCAGAAATGAGGCGGTGAAAAAGCGAAAGTATAATGCAATACTTGAAACCCTTGTGGAGATTATGTTGACAACTGCATCAAAAACTCACCTTGACGAACTCACCAGGTATATAAATGAGCACATTGCCCGCATCGGTCTAAAACAATATAGAATCACTTCAAATGAAAAATGATTTGACAAGCGTCACATGTTAAACCTGATGCACCTGATCTACGTTAGAATTGAACAAAATTAGTCGCTAAGTGCTAGCCTTTGTTAGCTGCATACACAAGAGGAAAGTTTGTCACCTGATGATTGAAAATCAATTTCGCAACATCGTATGCCACCATTGACGCAGATAATTACGAGATTTATTTGGATGAAAACATCTATTGACATGGAAAAAACTATGGATAAAGATAACAAAAAGATTTTCCCATCGAGGGTTTAGAAGTCTACATTAGACCTTTAAATTATGTACATGCAAGCATCACAAAACAAGAAATGCGGAAAGGAAGTGATAGTGATAGCGCGAAATGCTAAAGTTTCAACGAAAAGGGAAGAAGAAAACATAATAAGACGAATGTTGGGTGACGGGAAAGGGCAATTGGACAAAAAAGTCTCCGTGTTTATAAAATGTGAAAATTAAGCTATCAAAATGATAAATTCTTCATACAGATTCCTCTACCTTGACTGGCTTTAAAAGCTTCTCCTTTATAATGAACTTCCGCATATCTTTAGCTGACCAACGATCTTTTACTCTCGCTGTCAATGTCCTGAAACAAATCTGCACTTCTTCAACAAGGGTTATATGAGTTCAAAAACTGTTTACATTTTATTATAATAATGCTGAGACATTTACAAATTCTGACTCCTAGCCAGATTCCATTCTGTAGTTACCCTTTCCGGACACCCAGACCCCGGATAGGGTAATCGCGGGTTCGAAACTGGACGCGGATCTGAGTTTTGCAAACATCTCAACGTCACTGTGGTTCCATTACACACATTTAAATACTCTACCATGGAAAAAAAGTAATGGACAGTGAATGAAACTTGAACATAATGAACATCATGTAACCAGGCGCACAATCTAATCTAAATAAATTTAAATGAAACAATTCGGATAAAAATCTAAGAAAACAATTTAGATAAAAGTTAAACACTGCGATTTTTGCTACAGCCTCAGCCTAACCCATTACTATGTCGATTTGTCTTGTCCAATCATTCCTGTTGATACCTGATTTTACCTAAGTACCTTCATAAAGAGTCATATCAGCTTCATCACGTCTATTTATCTTATGTGATATTTTTTAACATGTTGTATTCTTTATAACTTCAGGATAGTCTTATAAGCCCGTCATTAGGTCGTCACCAGAAGAAGTTTTTGGGCTTCATGGCTCGGTTAGAGTGGTTTATCACCTTGCAAATGAGTTTCTTCTAAAGCAACGGCGATTCAAGACTATGGAATAGTTTTGGACGAGGGTACTGGATGAAATTACCAAACTCACTCTCATCTTGCATCTCTAGCTGGGTGTTGAAATACCTGCTGTACTGCGCTGTTGAACACTAAGAAAAGGCAGACACCAAATGGTGGCTAAACCCTATTGCAGTATTTTTAACTTTGCACCTGTTATGGCACCCTCATATGTCGGTAATAAAGCTAATTCCAGATCTTGCCCACCTAAATTGGTTGACAGAAATATTTTGAATACTTTGTTGCTACTAAAATGCGCGTGTGGCATAGTGATTGGAGGCGTTACTGCGACACACACTTAGAATCGATCCTCGCGCCCATAGTCCACCAATCATTCCATCTTTGCGGGTTTGGCAAATTTGTACCAGACTTGTCTGGGAGGACAGCAGCACTGACTCAATACATCGGCAAGCCACCGCAAGTCATTGTAAAGGCCAAATATGCATTCAACCACTTTCACCGATACTTAATGAAGTCGATTGCATGTCTCACCCTTCAGGGATTGTTCAGCACAGGGAGCTTTACCTTTTTATTTATCTTCTTGTTGCTACTTTATTGCTCGTACTATTAACCGTTGTGCTGAAAGTGACTACAGATAACTTTAAAACCAGTCTTAAATTATGTGTAGCTGTATGTAAAGTTGATGTTATAAAGAAAAGGAGCGAACCGAGTCAAAGAACAAAAAAAATCGAAGAAGGAAAATCGGAAGCTGACATTCCTTGTAAAGCTTACTTTTTTAGAAGTTTCAGTGCTTTTTCACTAAATGACATCCATCGCTTTGGTAGTGTCGGGTTTTTGCGCTTCAGCCACTGCTCCCATTCCCAGTACTGTTTGCACATAATAGATGCTTTTTGCCACGGAAATCGTCCTCTCAAGCAGTAGTAAAAGATGACGCCTGAAATCAAATGCAAACGGATAGAACTGGTTTAAACTTAGTCAACAACTTTCATTCGTCGTCCTTTTAGTTTACTAAAGGCTTCGGTGAGGCTTGTGTTTGATATAATGTGAAAACTTTTATATTATTTCACTTTCTATGTTTTCATTCTTACAAAGTCGTTTTAATAAGCTACATTTCACTAGTGAGTAACAGCTGCCCTTCTTTATTATTTTATTTAATGGCTATTTTTACCACCTCCTTTATAAACCACGCACCGTTTGAAGACGTCAGGATGCTATAAACGATTTTGGACGCGAACAGAATGCTTATTAGGTTGTCAACGAAGCTAGGCCAGAGGCCTTGAATACAAATCATGAGAACTGTTGTAAATGTTGATCGCCAATGCTTATGTCCAACCTACTCTCCGAAGCGGGGGACAAATCAGATGTAGATACTACAGGTGCAAAGAGACTTATAATGTCGAGCATAATCCTTGCAAAAAACCATGGACACGACTACAGTAGCTGACCTCACAGAAATAAATTCTACTTTAACCTCCCAGAAAAGACTTCATGATGAAACGTTGGCCGCCATGATTTGTTCGTGCAACCGTTTGTCTACTGTGCCGACATTCATGAAGCGGTGTCTCTTCGTTTAATGATCAAAATCGCAGGCTTCTTAAGAAGAATTCGCTAACTGAAATCCATGGAAAAATAACAGCTGCTCTCTTTTCACCTTAGAGTCTCCAGTTTATTTCTTATCAACGTCAACACAATCGGTATAACCACTTCATGGGGGAAAACCTCTTCGAACTAGATAGGAAAAAAGCATTGATAACACTAAACATGAGCTTGAATCAAATCCCAGAAACGGAAAGAGTTGTTCTTAAATAGGAAGAATCCTGGACCACACTTGAAAAAATGCAGAAAGGTTGCTATTGTGACGTCGACACCCTCACGAACAGTTCTGTCAAGCTCGCAAACTGTGAAATCACAATCTAAGATGAATTCATGCGTAAAAAATGCAGCTCTACACTAGAGTGTCCACTGGAGTGCTTCTTGAGGAAAACATCTTCCGGTAACTTTTAAACTATTTGCTTCCTAAGCACAGTCGTAAAAGTTTTAGAGAAGTCGGTCGTATTTCATTAAGTAATATTGTCGACAACGGTTTGTTCCCAAAAGTCTAACAAAGTTTTGAATAAATCCTACCTGGTGATGGTATTGCCATTTATAATCTCGCCGGATTTAGGTAATGTTTCTACCCGTCTGCAACTTCGGTCTTCATCGATATCGGTTAGGTATTGCTAGGCAAAAATTTCAATTTTTGTGATGTGGTCCAATTTTTATGGTATCTTTTACCACCAGTTTCCCATTTCGAAAGGAAAGGGGGAGAGTGATGTGGGGGTTCGAATCATAGTGAGGTGTTGGCCTTAGATGCAACCAGCTTATCACCTTTTTGGTTGGATTGTAATCAATCAATTCCGATGTTAGTTTTTTCAAATGGTTCTTATAAAAATAATTTCATAAGAGCCGTAGTATCCTTTCTAGACGCACTTCAAATACATAAAAAATATTGATATAGCACTCGTCATAACTCATTGTTAGACACAAGACATAAAGTCTATCAGAACTGGCACTGCTTCACACTTTTTAAACGTAAACTTCTTCTCTAACCGTCTGTTGCTCCAGGATCTTCAATCTTCCTGATCAAGGATTATGACAAAATTAGCATTGCAAGACCACCAGTACTTAAACCTGCAGCAAATTCCGCGAAACCCTTTTTCTCCAGTGTAAAATACATTACTCAGTAGCCGATCTCTTCTTGTATCGGCATGTTCAATAATCACCTATATTACCTGTTGCCCTGTTGATTGCAGAGCAACTAGGGCGGGTGCCATTAAGTCTTTCGTCTTTCCTTGTCGCATGCAAGAGTAGGCCAGTGGGTTCTGCTTGCTTTAGAAACTCCTTCAGTATAATACACTTCTTCTAGGGTTTTCGCGAAGAATGCCGACCATTGCATCGGTGGTCATCCAGCAGTACGTTTGACATCCCGGAGAATCCAGTCACTAACGGCTCTTGCCCATCGGTTGTCGTTTATATGCATTATGTATCCGGCCCGCCTTATCTTCGACAGCTTGGCGTATACATCGGATACATCGGTATCGCCGAATTTTGATTGCTGACGCAGGTCATAGCTTCGGATCACTTCTCTCACTTATGTGACACGAGATAGTTCTAACATCGCCCTTTCGACTGCACGTTTGATAATTTGACTGGTTTTTCATCCAGCCCACGCAGCGAGAGGATTTCCGGAACATACGTTAAAGCAGGAAGAAGCGTGGAGTGGAAAAGGTGGGCATGGAGTCGGGTGCTCTATGTTCTCTTAACTACATCCTTGACGCTCTTGAAAGCTCCACAAGTTGCTTCATTCTTCCTGTTTAACTCTAGGGGCAAGTCGTTCACCATTTGGATTCTCGACCTAGATAGACGTAACAGGAGCATTCGGAGATATTAATTCCGCTGGTCGTCAACGGGGTACACGCAACAGATCTGATCCTTATAAACATCGTTTTTGTGAGACATAGTAAAAGGCCGATCTTTCTACAAACCTTATCGTAGTCAGGAACCATTCATCCAGCACGACCAACGTTTGGTGTTATCAGAACGGTGACATCTGCAAAGCGAAGATCGTGTAATTGTTGAAAAGATTCTCACCTCCATATTGTCCTACTCCAGTGTTCGCACGACGTTCTCCGGAGGGGCTACAAATAGTTTTGGTGAGATGGTAGACGCCTAGACGAACCCCTCTTTTGACGTCGACGTTAATATCGTTGCAGAATGGTGATATCTTGGTTGTGAAATATTTATACAGCTGACAAAAAATCTTCACATACTGAGTAGGGTCTCTTTGATTGCCCAGGGCTTCCATTACCGCTTCTATCTCGGCTGAGTCAAAGGCCATCTTTAAACCGATGAAAGTAAGACAGAGCGCTCTTTTGTATTCTCGAGAGACTTAAATGAGTCTTGTTATCGTGTGGATGTGGTCCATCGTGCCAAATCCATTTCGAAACCCTGCCTGCTCACATGGCTGTCCTTCGTCCAGTGTTCTGTCAATCCTCTTTAGGATGACTCAAGTGCAAAGTCTGTAGACGACAGACAGCAAGCAGATTGGGCGATTGTTGCCTATATCGTAAAGCTCACCCTTCTTGAACAATAACATGGTCCTGCTGGTCTTCCACTGAGTAGCGACCTTGCATTCAAACAGCTAATGTGTGAAAAGCCGAGCCAGTGTGTTTGCGAGGACTGGCGGATGGTTCTTCGGGTGTTCTGGCCTTATCCTGTCCGGACCTGGACTGTCGATTTTTTACCTACAGAAGTGACTATTTAAGAGGTTTAAGCAGTATTCGTAAACGATTCTCCCCACTGTCTTTCTGGACGCTGTTAGTGTTGCGTCTGGGCGTCGGAGTGCAATCATTTTGGTCTTGTAGTTCGCGAAGCTTCGGAGGGCTTTGCGAATGCTTTTCCTAGCCTCTGCAGCTTCGGCCATTACTGCTGCTCTACTCTCTCAAAGATCTCCTTTTATCGCCTGTATGCATTGCTTTGCAAGTTCGGACATTAGTTCGCGGTTGACTGCAGCTCGTGCGATTCCACGCTGGCATATCAGCTCGAGTGTTTCTGGAGGCAGACGCCAATTGGTGCCTTTCGAACTCCGAGCTTTCAGAGCGCTAACGTGATGATGTTGAATTCTTTGTCGACAAAGGCATTTTTCCAACGGCGTGAATTGAAGAAGTCCAGTTGATGGGGTTTTGAGACCTCGCTTCTTTAATTTTTCGGCTTTTTCCCTCTGCGCGAAAGATGGAATCTTGCGCGAAGGAGGTGATAATCTAATCAGGTGTAGAATTTTGGGCAAAGGCAACATTTGGTTTATTCGTTACGGTACTTGAAGGCTCCCACGTCCAACGCTGAGAGTGGGTCTTTCGGAATAGCGATTTACCATTTATAATCTTGCTCGTCGTGCTTAACTTAGACAATCCTATTCGTTCCATTCTACATCGTCTGAATATGACGTTCTTTAAACGTTGTTCCTGGTCTAATCTTGCCGTTAAAATCCCCAGTGATGACCTCGAAGAATGTATGGACGTCTCTGTAGAACTTCTCCAACCCCATATAAAATGTTTCGACTTCTTCGTCACGGTCTGGTGTCGGCGCGTAAACGACGAAGTTTGTCAATGCCGGTATTGATTCCCATCTCTTCAAGACATCCGATTGGTGCTGTTGGTTATTCGAATGAATCAATGGTCGTAGACAAACGCGTGTTGGTCAAAATGCCCTAGCCGCCGGCTCCTCTACTGTCGCATGTTTCGTGAACAGTTCTTCTCCAGTGTCAAAGACGACGTTGAATGAGTGGCGTCCTCTCGTCTCGGTTAGTCCGATAACGTTGTACCTTATCCTGCTTGCCTGCATGACCAAGTCTTCTATCGAAGACTCAGATGAAAGCGTGTGCGCATTGTAGGTACAGACCGTCACTTTAGTCCTTTGTGATACACGCAGCCTAGAACGGTTCTAAAATTCTAGCACCTTCTCTGCGTTCTTCCTACCCAAGACTGCCGAATCGGGAGCATTTTCAAGGTAAGCAGAATGACGTTCTCTTATTTTACTTTGTTTAGCTGTTTGATACGCGCATATAGCTTGCTAAGCTCTGAAAGTGAAGACTAGGCATACTCATGAGTGGCTTGTCACTTCTTCCCAAACAGAGGAGTAGCTTATTTGTTGGAGGCGACTCCTAACCACCTCCCATATTTTTCCATGTTACTTGATTCCAGAGTTTTGGCCAAATTGCCTCGTAGAATGCAATCCGCACAAACGAGAACACGACCACGCGCCCATGTGTGAATACGCCCTCGTAATTACAGCAGGGATGTGCTAAATCGGCGAAGCGGGCAAAGGGAGTCCATCTCCTAGAAACACCTGTGTCTCAAGGAAGCAGCGCTATCTTTTGGTCTGCGATTAACTGCCTATCCGCCAGCATGCTTGAGTGACAGCTCGTCATTGGAAGAAGTGTCAAGCGCAAGCGTGCTGGTATTGTGTGTTCAAATCGTCTCACCATGGTACGGCCATATCTCAGCGGCCTAGTGCTGTGCCCTTCTTACCATCTTCTCTGAAATTGTACCTCTCATTATTTCTCTTTGGTAAGCTCTTTTGTTTTGAGCAGAGTGAGATTCTTTAGTGAGAGTGTTACAGGCTCAACCACAGAAATTGCTATTCCTACACGTATAGCTTCCATAGCTTTTTTTAGAGTAAAAGTGGTCGGAATTTGTATTACGCAAAATCAAATTTTCCACTATATAATGTTCTTGAATATCGGTCGTGTTCTTTCCCCATAATTCTACGTTAACTGTACCAGGGCGTTTCAGGTGCAGGATCGAATCAGCCCCTTGCTCGTAATGCACAACATCATTAGCACTGGGCTACTTAGCTCACATTTGTTATGAAAACAATAGGATATTAACTAGTGATGTCACACATGGGTAGGCTGGATTATGCCCATTATGAAGCATTGAAGTAGCGCACGACAGAGGTCCAAGAGGAAAAAATGTTCCACGGTTTTTTCGGCGACGAAGCAGAAATCGATTTGAACCGGTTGACGATTGAAGTACCAACTATCTGTGGAAAAATTGACATGGTCGAAATTTTATCATCCGGCTACACCGTAATCTCTAGAGGTAAAACTAATTAGAAACCGAATAGCATAGAGAACAGCAAGAATAACCTCAATTCTTTTATTCACTGTCATTATATGACCCGACACAGCGTGCACAACGCTTTGAACATCCTTATACCCTTCTTAGATTCTAATCATTTTCGCGCACCCATTCACGAAACTCTTCGAAATTTTTTTGGGTGTATCTTCTGTTGCTACTTGAGGATTTTCGTCCTACTCATGCATGTCGTTGAATTCCGATCGGATCGATTCTCTCTAAAAATCTAAGACGCCGTGCTACGACGTTCCCACGTTTAAACGGAGAAAGCTTGTCGCACAGGAGTCTGGCACCAGTTTCCCGATCTCGGCAGGATGAGATGCTCGGCGGGTTTGGGGTGATGTCACACATGGGTAGGCTGGATTATGCCCATTATGAACCGCATCATTGCACCTACACTAGCCGCTCCGTAGATCCATAAATAGGGTTTTGAAACATGGAAATATAACCTTTTCAATTCCATGTGGAAACTAGGTGAAGACAAATCGTTTGCGAGAAAGATGATGAAGAATCACCTTCATTTTTCTCACCTTCGCTGGCACATATGCGCATATCATCAACAAATAATTCGCTTAAACCATAGCAAACAATCTACGCTTAAACTTATTTTGCTGCCCTTCTCTGGGATGAAAGCAAAAAATTCCGGATTTTGTTCATAGTATGAATATCGAATAATATAGTGATAACTTGTTTGTCAGAAAACATGCTGTAACATTTGTCAAATTAGTATGTAATAACAAAATCTTTAGTAGTTCTCGAAACCTACCCAATGCCCAAATGTCAATGCTCTTGCTAACAGTTAACATCTCATTGACAACGGTTTCACATAGCTCTGGAGCATGGTAGTTGTTCACGTATTCGAGATATTTCACCGCTGAATCCACCTTTCGCGTAAGGCCGAAGTCCGTGATTTTTGCCTAATAAAAACTAATCAGTTGGAAAGTATTACATGTCAATATAGTTCTGTCCATTCGACAAGAACTCGTTGATAAGCAACTTCAGTGAATTGAAAAAGTATTCTAGTAATCAGCGAATGAAATACGCTTGGCTTTCCTGCTGACGCACTGTTCAAATAGTTATACTGCTCGAAGATTTTCTCGTTCGTCGGCAACCATGACTTTACGGCATCAATTCACAAAACTTATTAGGACTTGAGACTAGAACATTTTTGTTTCGTTAGTTGACAATAATGTACCTATATTAGCCGTTAGTCTTAGTTAGCATTATTCTGTAAGATTACGTAGAGGTATAATCTACCGAATTAAAGTAGTTAACCAGTAAAGGGTAGGCCTAACCTCTCTTTGCTCTAACAGTATTCTTAACTGTTGAAGGACCTGCACACTGTCGTTTGTCTTAATAAGCAGCGAGATATGCAAACCAAAAGTGATCGTGGTGAAATTACAATGACCTCATGAAGTTTTTGACTTCTGGGCAAGCCGCACTTTTTTCCTATCTAGAAAAAGGGAAGCACTTAAACTGTTAAGGTGCGATTGAAAAATTCGCAGCTTTCTCAACAATGTTCGACACACACACGCATGGATCGCTATTGTGTTCCTAGCAAAAAGAATTAGCAATAAAAGATAACTAAAATAGTCATCCAAGTAGGTCCTACCTCCTCAGTTCATATCTTAATAACTTTTCACTTGATACACGATTGTGTGATGCGAAGTAACTATTCTAATTTAAGTAAGCGTAACCTCGTAATGCTGTAGAAACACAAAGCTCAAATCTGTATTAGGAGGAAAATTACGCTATCCACCTAAGTTATCGCAAAGAGGTTTCATGAGGCCGAAACTGTTGCTTACGGTACAAAGCATAAAATAATTTTACGCATATGAGTATCTTCGAAAAATGAAGTTTTTCGCAATGCCAAGTGTCAAACATTCTCTCATAAAGAGATATTTTGCTTTCAGTATAAGTACACCTGCGAAGTGAATCCTAGGATGTTTACCTTCGAAAAATCGTTGCTGTCGAAGAGCAATATGTTTTCCGCCTTCAGGTTTCGATGAACTAGATTTTCGTTATGCATAAATTCGACTGCGGACAACACGGCACTGAACACCATTTTCGTATTCGCTTCCCCAATACCTAAACAACGATTCTAGGAAAATTTTCCCAGTGAAAAACGTAGATGAGGAAACCTCCATTACTAAGCCATGTCGCACCACATCACAAAGGGTCACAATACGCATTCAGATTTTTTTGTATCATCTGTGAAAAAATAGCTTATGGATCTTAGCACTTCTCGCATTTTATTCATCATCACATATCCATGTTCCACAAAGGCCGCTACTTGACAATTTCAGTCTTCTTTATGAGCATCGTTAAATCCTAATCAGGTAGATTGCCACTGGAATCCTCGAGCAACCGTGTTAGTGCGTTCCTATGTGTTAGACACATGTAGGAGTGTTAGAAAGAGTAGCTGGTTCCGGGAAGAGATGAACCAGGACTTTGCGCGCATTGTTGCCCAGCGTCTTTACCACTGCACTATCGCAGTCCGCTATTTGAGAATAAATATTTGATTTTGCGAAGAATAGTCAATGTTGTAAAGAAAATAGGCCTTTTAACGATTATTTGTTTTTAACGATTATTTGTTTACTCTGGAAGCTTTTTTAAAACTATGGATATGAAGAAAAAAATTCGATATTGAGTGTACCAAGATGTAGCATACGTTTTACCCTTTTTTGAACTTTATTTACCAGTACTTTATCCACTTCAAAGGATCACTGCATAACCCAGAAGCGGTAGTTTTCTTGTGCATTTCTTTGAGTCCGTTCTGATAACAGTGTATTGATAATCAATTTCCTAACAGACGTCATGGGAAAACGCTTGTATTCCTAGTACGTGAAGCCAAAGCCGGATCTTTGCAAGACAATTTAACACCTTCTTTAATTCATTCGGAAGCTTTTTGTTGCCTGTAAAGGTGATAAGATTTGAGATTACCCCACAAAACCTTTCCAACTTTTCTCTGCAGTGAAACTTGCATCACTAGTCATTTAAGAATGAATATTATGAAATAATGCATAACGACATTTTTCTCTGAAAACCGTGACTTTATAAAAGGCAGCACTTGAACGGTACTCTCTGCAAGCTAAACACTGGCTATGCCATAGCTCCTGACGAATGAGGACTTTCAAACCGGAATTACTAAGAAAGTCACTTTTCTTCCCTTCTTGCGACTCAACTTCAGTATTTTATTAATTCTTTCGTACTTCACTCCTAACTGCAGGATGGAAAGCGAATAGAACGGGGCCACGCACGTTCTCAACAGTTGTAAAATTACGTGCCCTCACGAGAGGATCAGGAAAAAAAACGACCTTGTTGATTTGTCGCCTCAACCGCTTCCCGTAATGAAGCTCTGGGACAGAACTCTTGCACGAAGAAGAACGCTGATTCGTCTCCAGTCTGAAAACTCTAATAGTTCGCTATGTAAGAGAACACGGATGAGATTAATACGACAGCATGAATAACTCACCATCATGGCCCGAGCGCTAAAGTGAAACAGTCACATTGTAAATGAATTTAAAGTAAAGTTAAAAGTTGAAGAAAGTCGGAAACAGAACTCTCGTGCTCATAGTTTATGGTAGAAAAAAATACTCAAGATATCTGCTTTTTTCGAAATTAAAACATTAGGGTGCTCTCTGCTGCATTTCGTTGAATTTGATTAAGCCGCCATGTCGCGTAATAGAGCTTTCAGAATGCTGCTCTTGCTCCAAATATTGAGAAAATGCATTATAAAAAATGAATGAGACAATGAGGCAATACGCAATGAAAATCAACACATTAGGAAAAACTGCATATTTAAATCTGACAAAAACCTCTCTTGCGCCAACTCCAACGAGCCGCTCAGTTCTTTTTTGGCCACACCTGTTCAGTACTAAACAGAGAAACGACAACTTGAACGGAGCATTGTAGGAAACCAGTTCAGGCGACTGGGGGATCGAAGAAGAAACGAGAAATGCTACAGTAAAATAACAGGAGGAATAAATAGCGACTTGAAGTGGGGAATTTTCTGTCGCACCATTTTTGTTGGCGAGACAATTACTTACAGTGGTCATCATCCTCTTCAGATTGGTGTAATACCTCTTCAGATTGGTGTAATACGCTCTGACAGTTCTCTACTACCAAAGGTCGATGAAGATAAAAATGTTATATGGCAGTTAGCTTCTATAACCCTAACCTTCCGAACACAAAAAGTTGTACTTTGCCATTAAGAAGAAAAAGGCAGTAAGTAAAAGGGTTAAGATTGTGATTATAACTAAGCCTCAGCTTAACTGGGTTCAATGCCGATTTGGACTCCCCAGATCAATCCCGTTGACGGGTGATTGCTGATGGCAAAAAAGATCGATAGAACTAGCTGAGAGACAGGCAAGACGAAGGACCCGGATGGTGTAGTGGTGAAGTGCGCTGCTCCCCGGTAAGGACAACAGCGCGTGTTCGTTCACCACCGCATTCACCTGCGGTCCGGAGTTTTGCAAATATCTCAGCATTTCATACAAAAGGTTGTTTTGACTCACTTTCTGCTTGGGTCGAAATTGTAGAGAAAAGTAGCCGAGCATATTACAAAAGGCTAAAAGCTTATCTGATTTATTCCCCTGTATTAGATCGTTTGTTACTGTTTTTCGATTCCTTTCGAAGGGTTGAAAAATCTAATACACCGTTGCCAAAAATGAAAATGAAATGAATGAAAATGAATACAGGCCATACAATTCAGTACACATACTCGCAGTGTGTTCTCTAGAAATGGATTGTCTTCAACGCGTTTGGTGCAAAAACAATAGACGCTTTCAATTCTTAGCCAATACGTCTCAGCTCACAACGAAGACGACTGGATGAAATAGAAATTTTTACCATCTGCAAATTTCTGAAGACCACAGAGCTTTTTTCCACTTTTTTGGATCAAGCCTCGTAATTTGAACACGGAAAATCAGCAAGGTGGAGTTCAACCAAAAGACACAGTGGCCTACTATAATGTATTGTTAGTATTCGAAGATAACACATCTACATTATAAAAGCTGAAATTTTAATCGGGTTTTTTAAGAGTTTCAATTATAGACGAATTTAATATTAAAAAGCCTTTCTTAGTGCTGGAATATATGCCTAGAGCAATTGAGAGCACAGTCTATCCTAAGAAACCCAGTCATCGGAAAACCAGCATAGGGCGTTCGTTATGTGCTGATATGAGCCACAGCGCAGTTTGTTAAGCCGGTAGTTTTGAATTGGCTTTTTTTGTACCGTACCGTATTTTATACCAGAAACAGCAGACCCACCTGATGCATTCCTTGGTATGTGTCAACAATATGAGGATGCGGTGACAAAAAGAATGAATAATTATATTCTCGAATGAAATCCACCTGAAAAAGGCAACTAGAAACTGTGGAAGGAAAAGAAATCATTCACAATTTATTTGTTTCTAACATTACTAGCAGACTTTCACCTGTTTTGTTTGAGGTCGCGGAAAAAACTTGATTGCAATTCTTTGTCCCGATTGTTTGTGCTCGGCTAGTTTTATGTAGCCAAATCGTCCCGTACCGAGCTGAGTGTTATCACAATTGTTCCATCATTAGAATGAATGGGCAACAAGAGGAAGTTGAAAGAAAACCTGTTTGTATACGATGTATACGTCCTCAATATTGACTTTTTCAATCGGTTCCATAGTCACGGATCCTCGTTTTACGAATACACTGTTTCGTCGTGCGCTTACTACCTCAGTCGTGTCGTCGGTTCGTGAAGAAACATGCTGGAAAGTTCTGTATTCTACTGCTCTGCTATAGTGAGTGAAGTTATCAGATGACTATGTAGTCGTAGGCTATGGTTGACGACTTGTATATGTTTGACACCAAGTACAATTATTGTGCAAAAGATTGCTCATTTCTTTCAGAATGGGCTTGAAGTAGCGAGCATTCCACATTTCACGTCAATAATTTCTGTGAAAGCCCACGTATACATATTTGACTAGTTATGTTATAAACATACTGTGCAACTTTGTACTCGGATTAATCCAGAGGAAACTATTAAGGTGACTTTTCTTCGCCGTAGTGTGTCGAGTAGCTCACCAAGCTCAGTTTGCTCTTGGGCGCTAATGCCACTAAAATTTTCATATAAGGTGTTCGTTTCCACTAACTGTCCAGATGGCCCCATGAGAATCGCAGTGATAGGACCATGGGCTCAATTTAGAGATCTCTCAGAGTATCGCATGAAATTTGTCTACACCGAATACTTTTGAACACTTTAACTTGCAAAAGAGAATCGCCATAATCGCATTAATATATTAACTCTGCAAATGTAACGAAACAACTAGATGTAACAGAGCTATGACTTTAATTTCACGGAGGGTTTCTTATCATTTTTGGTCGGCGTCTCATCCTCTTTAGTCCACTAAGAAGACCCATCAAGTGATCTCCTGGCTAAACGGTTAGAGTTCCTTTTCATGAGGAAGACTCACTGATAGAGAGCAAAAACAAAGCACTACTGTAATTCTCGAGCAAAGAATTCTCTTGTAATTAGACAGATCATGTGATGCGATATTGACAGACAATACAAACATACTGATATTCCTCTGATCCAGCAGGTTATTGGACGTATATATATATATATATATATATATATATATATTATATATATGTGCATATATACATATATATAACGTAATGTGGCTGCTCGAAGCTAGTTTACATTTTCCTTATATACGTAAGGACATTTACGATATCAAGCGCCGTTGTAGAGAAGTCGTTAGAGGTACCTTGCAAAGCACACGTCGTCTTTTGTAGGATACCGCGTCCCAGGGTCGTCAAGCCTTCCATACTTTCGGGGTCACCACAATGGTACCAACTTGTCTGACACCATTTAACAGCATTGACTTGATAGATCGATTGGCTGTCGCAAGTTGCTGTATACGGTAAACATGTATTTAATCGCCTCTAGTGATGGTTTATGAAATCAAAAACATGACGCATCTCCCATAGAGGTATGAACGCGGGAAGCATTGCTTTTCTATGCACTCGCGTGTAAGTCCAATGTATTCACTATGTCTATTCTTTAAATATATACGTCAAATATTTAAATAGCTGCCTAAGATGTGCGTGTGAGGCGCCTAGAGGCGTTTGCAATGAATAAACTGCATAGTTGTGGAAACTCAGCAGGCTACGTGGTTCTATATTTGCAACGAGCCTACTTCCACTAGCAGAAGCTTTCTTTAAGAATCAGACTGTGAAGATAGTCAAGAAGAACATTACTTTTACGGTTTCATTACCATTGAATTCAATGTAAGCACTCTATCAGGGAAATGTTTAAAAAGTTTCACATCGACACTTATGGAATGCACGAATAAAGTGAGAGAAGCGCCTCTTCGATGAATTGCAGCGCATTAGATGTCAGTGGATCATACTCTAATGTTTGAAGAACTTCAGTCTAGCTATGGTCAACATAATAACTCAGTTTTTTGCACACTAAAGAAAAAAGGATAAGGCTCTCGTTGTTGATCAACTCCTGAGGGGTGCGCCATGTATTCAACTTCATTAAGCCTCATTGGAGATGATTGAACGCACATCTGGCCTATACAATGACTTGTGGTAGCCTATCGATGTATTGAGCCAGTGCTGCTGTTCTCCTAGACAAATCTGGCCCCAATCGCGTAGGTCGATCCCATGTGTATTGCAGGGCGCTTCCGGACACAACACGCGCCCTCTCTAGTTACGTGTAAGAATACAAAACAGCCTGACGCAACTATTACCTAATCTGTTTGATATCTGCTGCCAACTAGTTATTTACTCAAGTCATTCTCAGCGGGCAGAGTATTGAAGAATGACAGTTATGCAGCAAGTAGGGCATCAAAAGGGCTTAATACTAATGAAATCTGCATATTTATAAACTCATTGAAGTGGCGCGTGCGTACGAATTATATCCTCTTACTTAACCTAACCTACCAAAGAAAGCTTCCGATTTGTGTAACGGTTGACTTGGGCATCTCTACTTATAAGATCTCTTAATTCCTTCAAAGCAATCATTTCATAACGAGGCCGCTTCAGAATGGCGAAGAGATTTCCAGGAGAGAAATCACGTTGAAAACCTTTCAATTATGACATGAGAGTGAATATCAAAGTTTTTTTACCATTTATTTAAAAACACTTGCCAGGTAGAACGAATTTTAATTGGCTTTGATTATCAAAACTCGCCATACGTCTTACTACAAAGAAAATATTTTTCGTAGGAATAGGATTTGCTGCTGCCCACCGATCACTGGTTTAAAAGCATAGAAATTCAAGCATTCAGCGACAATCAATCCCTGAGAAATACGCCATACTTTGGACTTTACCATCCACCACAGAGGTGATTGAATCATAAATGTGTTGTACAATGGTCTGCGGTGCTCTGCCAATCGCTGAATTAGTGTTTTTATCCTCCTAGGCAAGTCAGGCACCAGTTCGCCGACTTCGAAAAGGTTGAAGACCTGATGAGATCGGGGCGCGAGGACGAACCAATGATTGATTCTGTCTGTACCTACAGCATCTCTAACCATCGCGCTACACTGACCATTTATGGATTGGAAATCTCCGAGAACAAAATTATTATTGAATTTGCTTCAGAACTTAGCAGAAAAAAGACACTGGCTTAGAAAGCTTATACTAAGAAAATTTTATTGATTATTTTAGCACAGAATATATTTTTTTATCACGAGAACGTTGCCAAAAGACAAGCAAAACCCAGCACTGCAATCACCACACAGATTTCTGCATTACCGTATGACTCGAAATCTTGTACGCTTTGCATGAAGGTGGAAACGTGAACAACTTTACTAGATGTCAACTGTGGAGTTTCTACCTATGCCGACGATCGAAGATCAGTGGTGCCGTCGTCCCTTATTCCATGATGTCAAAAATCACGGGGGCTGGACACATGATGTGTCTAAAGGACAACTGTTGGGGAAGAGTCATTAGCGACTGGATCCCATGGGATAACAGGTACACAGCAGTTGCACCACTGACTCGATGGTGTTGATAACCCTAGAAGAAAAATATGATGCCCATTGCTAGCGCTGAGATCTCAATTGGCAACTTTGACGCCCGACATGAACGATTAGATGTAGTTTGGACTGTACTGAAACAAGCAGTAACACCCAATGATCAATGGCTTCACTAATGGTGTTGCATAGATATATATAAATAAATATAAATCTATGTATGATATCCAAAATCATCCATAATTCCTTATCAGTTTTTTTTAATTGCAAAAGCAGGTCGTAAAAATGTGGTGGAAGGAATGTGGACTATACGAATTCTTTAACGCTGGTCAGAATGACAATATTTACTGATGCATACATAGTCCATAGTAGTCTATAGTAAGCACTTGGAACTTTTACGTACATTGCTAGAAATAAGAAATAAGGACTTAAAGAAAAATAAGTGAGAGGAGGTACAATCTATTGACGATATCAATCAAGACCTTTATCAATCAAGCTCACTATGAAGAATCTTCTTTATTTCATTCACTACGTCCTCAAAGTGGGCACCACATGTTTGGTTTTGTAATGGTGAGCATTTCCAGTTCAAATCACTGAGAGTTCCAATACAGTTGAAAACGCTTGTTTAAAGTGAACGGATTACTGGCAGTAAAACTGACATACTAACAGCATTGTAACTTAAAAAGCCGACTTTCCATAGACAACGGTATAAATAATCGATATATTTATTTACATGTTCTTGTGAACTGATCTCGTCACATCAGCACAACAAAATCAGTTCCTAAGAACGTACGAATAAATAAAACAGCGTTATGTGCTCGCTGTTTAACGACAAGACAAAAGTTACGGATACTGGGAATGTGGGATAACATAATAGAGTGTAGGTGCTACACCGAACTATCCAATAGTGGACTTATGAATTTCAGCGATTTCTTCCAACACACATGTTGCACATTATTGATTCTCAGAAATTGGAGCCTTAGAAAAATAAAAGAGTGCCACAGCTCGAATACGATTGCTGTCTTCGCATTTCTTTTTCACTAAAAAGATCCAGATGTTGCTTTCCATGATGGAAACAATTCTGTCGAATGGTTTTGCCTCAGTCAGAAGGTAGACGCAATTGTCATGCAGATCTTTGAAGCAAGAGCTTCTGTTGAAGCAATGAGTTCATGTGAAAATAAGGTTACAAACGCTGCAAAGCTTAATCAACTCGAAAAAAGCTACTCATAAGGTCGCCGACGTTTTTTATTTTACTCTGCAACAGCGCATGATTGCAAAAAATCGAGAAACATGAGTCAAGTGTTATAGTGCGGAAATACAAAGAGAATGATCAAACTGCACGACTACCAGTAGATGATTTTGTGCCAGAAGGTCCAACCAAGGAGTCTACAAAGTATTACTGCTGTGTCCAGTAGTAAATTATAAGTTAACGTTTGGAAAAACAAAAATACTAATACGCTTCTGACGTTCTCCTCGTGCACTGGTATTCTACAAGATGTAAATCTAAGAAAAAAGGAAAGGTAGTCTTACAGCGAATACCAAATATAAAAGTAGTGTTTAACAAATGAAAAAGAAAGATCAGAGATTTCTAAGTGACTCACAATCTCTTGACTAGCAGAAGAATGTGATGCCGGTAACTGTACTCCAAAACTACAAGACTCTTCATGAAAACTGGCAGACCGTTTCTCACCCGGTGA